AACGGCGTGAGGAGGCGACTGAGGGAGGCAGAGGAAGGGGTGGAATAGCGGGCAACAATTGCATCCCAAACCCCCTGTGCTGTCTCCACCTGGTCAAAGTGGGCGGCCTCAGTCGGGGGGAGAAGTTCCGTCAGCGCGAGAGCGGCGGCAGCGTCACGAGAGAGCCACACGTCCCGGGCCAGGACCTGACGGTCGTACTCTGCCTGGGCAGTAGGAGTCGGCTCCGAGGTGGTCGGCAGGGCGGCGGGGGGCGGGGGGGCCTTGAGGGCACCAGACGCGTGGGCCCACAGTGTGGCGCCGTCCTGGCGCTGGCTGGTGAGGAAGCGCGTGGTCTGACGCTGCCAGGTACCGAACTCTATCGGGCGTCCCTCCGCATCGAAACGAAGGCGACGGGACTCCATAACGAAGGCAATGCTAGAGGCGGCTGGAGCACGGCGGAGGCGGAGCTAAGAACGAGGAGGAGAATCCTAGGAGCGCCAGGAGTGGCAAGGTGTGACAATGGCGGAGCGAGAGGCTAGGAGCACTTAGCGACCTAGTCTAGGCGTGAAACGGTGGATCTCCAGCTACAAGCGCTAGGGGCGAGGTACTAGTGGTTAAACTGCGCTAACCTAAGCGGCCGGCGAGAGAAAGCGGCTGCCAGCCGCTGAGTGATAGACCAATGTCAATAGAGCCCCGCGCACCAGGCGGTGGTAGCTGGAAATGGGTGGGGAGGAGGTCGCGACGGTAGAGAAAGGGCAGGGAGGAGGTCGCGACGGTGGGAAACGGGCGGGGAGGAGGTCGCGACGGCGGGGAAAGGGCGGGGAGGAAGTCGCGACGGTGGGGAAAGGGCGGGGAGGAGGTTGCGACGGCGGGGAAAGGGCGGGGAGGAGGTCGCGACGGCAGGGAAAGGGCGGGGAGGAGGTCGCGACGGTAGGGGAAAGGGCGGGGAGGAGGTCGCGACGGCGGGGAAAGGGCGGGGAGGAGGTCGCGACGGCGGGGAAAGGGCGGGGAGGAGGTCGCGACGGCGGGGAAAGGGCGGGGAGGAGGCCGCGACGGTGGGGAAAGGGCGGGGAGGAGGTCGGATGTGACGGTGAAAACGGGCGGGACGAGGGCGCGACGGTGGCGATGGGCTAGGAGGGCGGGAACCGTTAGCTAAGCGCGACGAGGGCGCAGAGGGCGCGTAGAGCGCGGAGAGCACGGAGGGCGCGGAGGGCGCTAAGGCGCGGAGAGCGCGATGGCGCGTAACGGAGGGCGCGTAGGCGCTAAGCTAGGGCGGGGAGCTAGGAACGAAACCTGCTCTGATACCATCTTAAGAGTTAGAGCAACGGAATGATGAGACTAGAGTCGAGAGAGATACAAAGGTAACCCTAAAACATTTGTACCTAGTGTGCTACTCACTGTAGCCTAAGAACCTATAAAAACATTTGACACTCAGTGCCACCCCCACATCTTCTTCTACAAACTGGGACTGCGAAGCCCTGGTGGGGTCAAACTCCTTGGTGGATCGCCTCAGCTTCTCTCCACGAAAGATGGCGACCACCTCAAACCAGTCGACCTCGTACCGCAGCAGGGAGCAACGAATCAGATGCTCCAGGCTTGTGTCGCCAAGGCTGCCGCGTCCCCAAGTCTTGATCAGATTCTGCTTCAAGAAGCCACGCTCGCATTCAACCGCGCTCAATGGCAGCACGGCGACTGACTTCCACATCCATATGATGTTGGGGAAGGAGACACGCCATGCATCATCCCGCAGCATGTTCGTCAGCGCCTGATGGAACTCCTCGTTGTTGTGCTAGGAGAACATTGTGGATGTAAACATCCACAGCTCCTGTTGGGCTCTTTTGTAGTCAAACCCTGTGGTGGGGCGGGGTTGGGGTGAAAGCTTGGCCGATGCTCGCAGACACGGGTAGGAATGGGGGGCATTAGTCCAACAAGCAGCAGTCAGCAATACGTGCACGTGTCACCCTCGCGGCAGAATTCGTTGCGACAACACACATCAGAACATGTGCAATCGCTGCACAAGGCTTACATGGCAGCTTGTGGTGGTACAACTTGTGCAGCTGGCCGAGCCACTTCTTGGAAGTTTCCACGTGCTTCATGTCGTCGAACACATACGAAGCTGTGCAAAATAGCTTCGTACCTTCCAGCAGCTGCAAGTCGTGAATCCGCCACTCCAGCTCAGCGTCAATGGCGCGCACATACTTGATCGACAGCTCGACGCACGCCGTGACATCGCCATCCGCTTCATGTGCTGGCAGCGGGCGCTCGTGCAACGTGAATTCAAAAGAGACTGGATTCCCGTTACCGTCTACGCCCTCCGCCTTCATCTCGTGCTTATCCTTTGCCTGGTGCCTCTGAATGAACTCGGGCAGCTGCATTTTCTCCCCGCTGCTGAAATGGTGTGAAGGGTCGCGGAGGGAATACCGTGTCTTCAGACGCATCCTTGTCCACTGCACGATGTGCGCAACAAGGGTAATGTCCACCTGCATAAGGGCATGACAAGGTGTCAGGTAGTGCACGTGCTTGCTTGCGACAACAGCACCAAAGACCCTTACCTGGCGCTGCTCGAAGCGCTGGTTGAGGCAGTTAAGTTCCCAAAGCACATCCGCAAGAAAGCGGATGAGCCTGTGGAACTTGAACGAGGTAACCACCTCGTACAGTTCCGCCTCGTGATCCTTCACCACCACTATGGCAGCAGGGGGAGCACGTCGAGCAGGCGCTGTATCGCTTCACCACGGGCGAGCCATCGGGTATTGTTAATCCCTTGCGCCTTCAGATTCGTCTGGCAGAAGATCCGCTGCATCTCGTGAAACTTCTGGTAGTCCACTCTGTTACGGCCGATGAAGTCAGCGAAGGCGCGCACGACATCGTCAATCATTTGCAGCTCAGGTACCCTTTCAGCAGCATCATTAGCAGCGAGTGCCTCCCTGTATGGTAGGGCACTTCGATAGAGAGT